ACATTGCACACATGTGCACACACACACACACAATTAATCCATTGATTAGCTCAATGCCTTTATGCCAATAAGTTACTCAGAGTCCTAGCACTGAACACTGCTTGTACTGAGGACCAAGTCTTCCATACGTGAGCCTTTCTTGGTGGGTATCATATCCGAACCATAAAGGGGTCACTCAAACTTCAGTAAGGATGTCAGTCAGTGCTGCAGCCTTGGGGATGGGGGTGGAGAGGGGAAATCCACATCCAGCACAGCTCACAGACATGGATAGTGCGCTGGTGTTGGCTGTTAGTAGATGCCTTACTTCCCACAGAGCTGCTTGGGTATCCTTCCAATATGGTGGCTAGTGTACCTCAGAGCAAGTGATACAAGAGAAGGCATGCCATCCATTTTGTAGCTCTACAGGTCACAGTACCATCGTGGCAACATCTTATTGGTTACATAAGTCATCCCTTAGATGCACAGAAGTGAGTCTATGCAGGGGTGTGAAAATCTGGAAGTGAGGCTCACTGGTGGACATCTTGTGGGAAGCACTTGGGAATTAACCACACAGTGACTTGGCCTGTCGAGAAGACTTAATACTCAGGATGCAGAGAAAGTTATTCTTTATTACTTGTGTGCCCCAGAGCAGGCAAAACTCACTCCAGAGAAACTAAGGCCCAGAGCAGACATACATACAGGTTTTTACAGGATTTTTCAGGATTTGAGACTTCCAGCACAAAACTATACATTCCCTTTAGGTTATAATAGGAAATTTAAACAGTCAGTGTTTTACAAAGACACAGATATTTTGGAAAAGTGTGGGGTTGTGACATTTCCCAGTAATATGCTGATGCCAGTATATAATCTTAGATATTTTATTTTTAAAATTTTTATTTACTTATTTTATTTTATGTGTATGCGTGTATTGCCTGCATGTAGGTAAGTGCACCCGTATCATGCAATGCCTGCAGAGGTCAGAAGAGGCTGTTGGATCCCCTGGGACAGGAGTTAAGGACCATTGTTAGCTGCCTTGTGGGTACTGGGATTCAAACCGAGGTCTTCTGCAAGAACAACCAGCATTCTTAACCACTGAGCAATCTCTCCAGCCCCTATAATCTTAGCTATTTTAATAAATAAGGCACATGGTCTGAAAAGACCCCTGCAAGAGGCAGTGTTCTCCAGGGTGCTCATAGACCGTGGTTTTGTGGTTGTCTGCCTTGTCTTACTTCAGCCTGAGACTGAGCTCATTGTGGCCTTTATGATTTGAGTACAAGCAGAAGTTTCCAAAGTCCTGATACTTCTACAATATCAACAAGCATACTTATTATTGGGGGTACATGAGGTTCTTGTCAAATAGATTTGTTAGTACTTACCCATCTACCACACAGAACAGAGTTATACTGAGTCAGAGTTCATTAGTTCCCCCATAAAAAGGATGAACTAATAGAAATTAGGTAGTGTCGTGGGATAGGGGTCTGATTTTGAGGGAATATGATCTCTTACTGCTTCCTGTCCCCCATGAAATGAACAGCTCTCCAACATACATTCTCACTTCCATGGTCATCCAAACACAAGGGATCAAACAAGCATGCCTCCTGCCTTAAAATTCAGATGCTGACATCCTAATTCCCAGTACTCAGAATGCTACTGGAGGTGGGGCCTTTAAAGAGGTGATAACTGAACACAAGACTGAGCCCGAATTCAACTCACTGGGGTCCTTATAAGGAGACTGGACACTTGAAGAGACCGCCAGGGAAAGGAGAGGATTGGACACACGCAAAGGAAAGACCATGTGACAATACAGTGGTATGGTTGCTGGCAAGCCATGGAAAGAGACCATCAAAGAAACCAGCCTTCTCATACCTTGATTTCTGACTCTGGTCTTCACAACTATGAGAAAATAGATTTCTTTCATTGAAGCCACCTTGCCTGTGCCTTTTTGTTATAGCAGCCTGAGTGGCAGACTTCAGTTGGAGAGGGTGTTTCAAGCAGAACTTGCCTGAAGGAAGAGGTATAGCATGAGTTGGTTTTAATACCAGATAGCTGGTCTTACTAGAAGAGTCCAGAAACCCTTTTTTCTGTAAAGGCCCAAATAAATGTTTTTTGGCTTTTGAGATATGTATTAGTTTCTTTTGCATTGCTGTGATAAAATACCTGACAGAAACAAGGCAAAGTGAATGAATTTATTTTGACTCCTGGTTTCAGAGGGCTCAATCCATAGTTGTTTGATCCTGTGTGCTTGGGCAAACATGGCTGTGAGAGTGTGTGTCAGAGAGCTGGTCACTTCATGGGTGACAGGAAGCAGAGAGCAGATAGGGGTCAGGGATAATAGACCTTCAAAAACCTGTCCCTTGACAACTACTTCCTCTAACTAGGCTCACTTCCTAAGGTTTTCACAACCTTCTAAAATATTGCCATACCTGGTGACTAAGATTTGAAACATGGGCCTATATGTACAGGGGTGGGGATTTTTGTTGTTTTTTTGAGACAGGGTCTTACTGTGTAACCCTGGCTGGCCTAGAACTTGCTATGTAGACCAACTCGCTATGGAGACCCACCTGCCTCTGTCTCCTGAGTGCTGGGATCGTGTGTAGGGAATTTGTATTCATTATATAACAGGCTGTAAATTCTTGGACATTCATTGACAATACATAAACAAATGGGCATAGCTGTGTTCCGATAAAACTTTATTTACACAAATAAATGGCAACCCAGATCTGGTCCCCAGACCAGCTTACAAGTCCTTATCAAAGAGGGATCTAGGGAATATGGAGATGGACTGGTTATGGTAAGGGATATGGTAGAAAGGCACGCCCATGTATGAGCCCAGACTCTCCTCCCAGCTCGATAACTGCCTCTTCAAGTTTACCCTGGAACTTGTATAGAAACATTCTGATACATCATTTGGTTATAGCCTCTTGGACTTGGGTGCATGAGGAGGTTGATGTGCTTGGGGGGTCTTGTAAAGGCTTGTGGGGGTACAGACAGGCCAAATCTTGGTTGACCCTTTGCTGCCTGAAATCTCCGAGTTTCTATCTCATATGTACTTTGCAAGACTTGGTGTGGGCATTCAGTGAACTGGCCCAGGTAAAGCTTCACAAATGTCTGTTCCCTTCCCCATTCTCAAAAAAAGGGTCATTATTATAAAGCATTATACCCCATTTACTGTCAATAAAAGGGTGCACTCCAGGGGTTCAGTTCTATAGTTTGAGATGATGTAAATATCCCAAGGTTAAGTCAAAGCAAAACAGGTTATTAAGGAAGACCTTTTGGATGGAAGCCCTGGAGCTGACCTGGTATATTTTATACGGTTTTAAGCCGCCATTGACCTATTTAAAATTCGGAGGCTAGGGAGATGGCTCAGTGGCTAACAGCACTGGCTGCTCTTGCAGAGGACCTGGGTTCAGTTCACAGCACCCACATGGCACTTAACAACAGTCTGTAACTCCAGTTCCTGGGGGTCTGATGCCCTCTTCTGGCCTCTGTGGGCATTGCAGGACACAGGTGCACACACATACCTATAGGCAAAACACTCATACACATAAAATAAATACAATTTTAAAAATAATTCTGGTTGTTGGGGATGTGGCTTGGTTGGTAGAGTACTTGCTTAGCATGTGTAAAGCCCTGCCCAGGCTTCATCCCCAGTGTCCATAAAGTGGAATGATGGTGCTCACCTGTAATCCCAGTACCAGGAGGGTGGAGGCAGGATGCTCTGAAGTGCAAGGCCAGCCTTAGCTACATAGAGTTCGAGGATAGCCTGAAATACATGAGACTCTATGTACAATACAATAAAATAAAACTCTGTCAATAATACATGTTTAAAAATTAATAAAAGGAGCATGAGTGTGATCAAAATACACTAAATACATATATGAAACTGTCAAAGAAAAAAATATTGAATAGAAATAAAACTCTGTTGCTGAGTAGGGGGAGATAGAACTGGCCTCCCTTGTCCCCTTTTCAATGTCTTAATTTTTAAAATAGTCATTGAAGTACTGAGAATTTCATTTTTGTTCACTTTTTTGAGACAGAGTCTCACTATGTATCCCTGGCTGGCCTGGAATTCTCTATGTAGACCAGGATGGCCTTGAGTTCACAGAAATCACCCTATTTTTGCCTTCTGAGTGCTGGAATTAAAGGCATACACCACCATATCAGGTGAGAATTTTCTTAAAAAATAATTTTAAAGGCCAGGCACATGCCTTTAATCCCAGCACTTGGGAGGCAGAGGCAGGTGGATCTCTGAGATTGAGGCCAGCTTAGTCTACAAAGTGAGCTCCAGACCACCTTGCCCTACAAGGAGACCTTGTCTCAAAACAAAACAAAGTAAAGCAAAATTAACATTATGTGTATGTCTGTGTATGTGGGTGAGGTATCTAAAGAGGTCAGAAGAGAGCACTATCAGATCCCCTGGAGCTGGAGTTACAGGTGGTTGTGAGACCTTAATCTGAGTCCTCTGGAAGAGCTCTTATCCGAGGCACCTCTCCAGTCCCCCCTTTTCAATGTCTTGCATGTTCATAAATATTCAGGAATAGTTATGTACTTGCCCACCCTTATCCAGTCATTAGGTGGAGCCCAAACATTGCCTATTTGACCACAGAGCACAGAGCCCAAAAGTGGCTGGCAAACTAACATTGGCCACACCCTTCTTGCCTGAGACCTGGCTCCTTAAGCATCAGACACAAGATATATATATATATATATA